ATGAACACATGCTGGCTGGGCCTGATCCCCTGGTTGACCTGATTACATACCACTTTCCAGTCATGCAGTTTTAGGCACATTAGCTGTCACAGATGCATTATAATGCACTAACTAGCTTTAACTGTTTGAACTTGTAACATGAATCATGTTAATTAATGTTACAAGTTCATAGAATCATAGAACCATAGAATTGAGATTCTATGAACTTGTAACGTGAATTAACATTATCACTCACATTTCAGCTCAGTCAGTATTTCCTCACTTGCAACATTTGAACCGCAAAGCCACAGCTCTGCTCCTACAAGCTATCTATTCCTACAGAGAGCACCAAGGTCTAAGCAAAATAATCTGCACTAAGTTATTCACATTCAGGAGTGCTTGCAGGACTGAGGACAAAATATTACATGCCTGTTTTGCCTTAGGAGGGAAGGTGGGTTGGTACAGGATCTACAGATAGGTGGATTTACAGATCCCTATGTGTTCACTGTTTATATTAAGAATGTGATCAATAGGATCAATTTTTAACCCTGGGTTCTAAAGTTCACATTACATTGTGTGTTTTTCCAACTAATTAAACCCTGGGTATATTCATTACATATAAACACCCTTCCCTCTCACAAAGAATTTACATTTTTACTAGCTTAAGACAACACTGGGAATAAAAGCAGAGCAGGCAGGAACTTAGCCAAGCACTGTTCAGAGCACTGGGCTCAGACTAGCACCTCCTCCTGTGAGCTGATGACATGAGATGGCTGCACTGGCGCTCCCCACAAGCATTACTCTGCTACAAGTTACCTTTTCCCCATTCTCCTGATAACATGGTTCTCTCTGGTCCCATTTCTTCTCTTCCAGAGCTTCTGAAGAGAGTTCATCTTCTTCCTCCTCTTCCAAAATATCTGAAAGGTCAGAACTACGGTTGTGCTCAGCAAAAAGGGTCAGCTGTCGTCTTCCCATTTCAGACATTTTTTCTTCTTGCTATTGAAAAGTAAAACAGATTTCCTCAGTCCTCTCAGGCACTCTACTTCAGCAATAAAGTAGCATTTTACCTTTCTCTAGTACACACACAGCTAAAGTGCAGCAGGAAATAAATTGGGCAGCACCCAATGCAGCAACTGGCACAGGTGTACACACACACAGAGACGCACAAAACCATCAGACATGTTTTATAGCCTGCAGAAGAATGGTACTGTATAAGACTGTAAAACACAGGGGTGTCAAATACAATCCACATCCCTCCATGGGCAGAGACATTCAACCAATGTTAAACAAACCTCTCTTTTCACTCTGGGCATTTCTTTCACCACCTCCTTGCCAGGGGACAACCTCAGGAACTCCTGGCAGCTGCTCCCATCCACACCTGCATCTCGGAAGGTGCCCTCTGTCCCCTCAGCCTGGCTGGGGCAGGGTAGATGTTCTGGGCTCAAGTGCTTCTCCTTTGCCTCTTTCTTTCTTTCAGCACTGGGACCTTTTGGTGACTCTTCCACGGAATTTGCATGGCACGTCTCCATACGTATCTTCAGACTACTGTTAGACGGGCTTTCCAGCTCTGGTGCTTTAGTTACAGATTGCTCCATCTGGGAAACAAACCAAAAAAAGGTCATCACAAACAATGAAATGTGCGGGAGATATCATGCAATACTTGTGCACCAAAAGGGGGTCCTTACCACCCCAAACTCTCTGACAGAATACTATGTGTTCTGCACTGTTGGCATATGAATATTTTGGCAGACAACTTGCAGCTGGGAAGGCTGGCCAGCCCTGGAACAAACCCCTCCCTGACATTAGCTGCAAGTAGACACACGGTCTTTCCACTGGTGCAGCTCTGGCCACCACACGTGGCTAACGTAAGCCACAAAAGTGTATTGAAAATAATTAGTTTTAGAGCAGCAAGAAGAAGAGCCCAAGCTATACAACAAGGTCATTTCCCACCCTCATCTGCCAGAGGAATGTCCTACACACCAGCCTGCAGGTTAGCTTGAGCTGGAGGTGAGGACACTGCCCCAGCACTTCTTGGAGCTGGTAAGGGCTGTGAAGAAAAGGGGAATTAATGAAGAAGAATATACAGAGTACAACTGCACAGAGTACAACTGCACAGAGTACAACTGCACAGAGTACAACTGCACAGACTTGTGGTTAGGTCACCTAGTTGGATTACAGAAATTTTAAATTTTCATCTGGTTTCCCGTCAGTTCAGTCTGGTGTTTAAGAAAACCTCTGGGAGATGGAACCCCAAGAACGAGGAGGGTAAGGCAGATGGGCCTTCATCAACCACCCCTTTCTCTAACCCTCACACTAAAATAAGGCAGCCTCCACTGTACTTTGCAATGGAACACAACTTAGGCACACTTTGAAAATATTTACAGGATCAGACCCCTAGGGAGATTTAGACACTGCAGTGCCTAGTTTCTGAGTGTCCCCTGGGCTCAAACAAAAGCCAGACAGGTCTAGATCTCATTTAATCTGACAGCCAGGATCCTTCTGCCCTGATTCTTTTTGTTGACAGCCAAATGCAGACACACATCTCAAGCAAGAAGGATGATTTGCGTACTGGAAGCACCCATTTCACTCCAATGACTACAAAGGAGGCAAAGCAACGCACCCATGTGTAGGCATCTACACTAGACATCTACATGTGGGCAGATTAATCGCAACAATTGACCTGAAGTACTGTGAGCAGCAAATAACCAGGGGTTGAAGAATGATGACTGAAATTTTGGACTCAATATCTTAATTCTTCCGTGTATCTACCTGACCTTTGGTCTTGGGCCCACACAGCTGCTGATGCTCCAGCAATTATCAGAAGTCTTCCCCGCTTTTGTCCAACTCTGAGCCTTTGCAACCTCACACTGCCATGATTAATAAAGTCATGCTGAATTTAACAGTTTGAAGCACTCCCCTGAGACCCTGATGTCAAAGATCAGAATGGAAAAATGCTCCTTTTTCCTGATATAATACGTCACACACCAACAGGACCCGCTTCCCTCTTGTCACAGACCAAGCACCTTATAGATCATTTACCCATTTTCTTATGGGGCTTAGACATCCTCACCACTGTCCTAAAAACGCCCTGAAAGCACTCACCCCGCCCTACAGGATTCCAAATACCCAATGTCATGGTAGCTTACCAGTTCTTCCCCAGACATGGCTGCCTCGCTGTGCAGTCCACTAAGGTGCTCCACCATGCTAGAATGCCTACTCTGCCTTGCGCAAACCCAGTAGACTGGAGAAGACCCCTTCAAGTCAGAGAGCACAGCAACACTAGACTGACGTTGACATCATCATGAGTGGGAACATCCTTTTCACCTTCTATCTCTGAGGAATTCTTGCCTTCCTGACTATTCCTGATCTGCTTGCACACATGCAATCAAGGGGCAAGCTTCATCTGCTCTTCCAGGTACACAACAGCAGCCAATACTCCCTGCTGGTTTGCCAACCACCAGATGATGGCCCAAAGGCAATAGTGTGTCACAGAAAGAGAAAGATGTTCAGTGGCATTTCATTCCATTCCCCAAAACGACCCATTCTCCTTCCCAGCACACATGGTACTCAGTAGGAGATATAAGCACCTACCTGCACCTCCATTCCTTCGCCCAAGCCTTGCAATTCTGCTTCCCTTGAAGGGACAGACTCCATGCCCTCGCTGGGGAGCGCTGTGCTGCCAGCTTGCTGAGGAGGCACAGTCAGGCATTTCTTGTCTCGTGCAGTGTCTGATCCCTGTGGGGAAGTACCTAAAACCTGCACCAAGGAAGCACTGGGGGAGGAGAGGTGTGGCGAAGAGGCTTTCTCTAGCAGAGATTGCACTGAGCCGTCCTGGCTGGAGGAGAGATCAGTCAATTTGGCATCTGAGCTATCAGTGGGAACTTTTTGTCGAAGCAGGAGTGCAGCCATCTGGTGCGTGGGTGGACTGCGTGTAGGCAGAGAGCCCCTGGGTTCTCCACGGGGCAGTCTAGAGGTAAAAGTGGTAGAAACAGCAGAATCTGAGGCTCGCAGCAAGTCCGAGGAAATCTGGGCTGGAACTGAATCCACTGACTCCCCGTACAGAGACATCGTTCTCACAGAAACCTCACGGCACTCCTGGAACATCTGAAGCTGGGACAAGTCCACCAGGACACTCCCAGCTGTTGGAGAAGTAACTTCTATTGCCTACAAGCAAAAAAACAGGGAGCAATTATTTATTGTGCAGAGCTCAGCCCTACTGAGAACGACAATTCCTGAACCCAAAGTTAATGACAGACCCCACAGCTCTTGAGAGCAGGCGTACAGAATTCTCACCCTTCTGCATAGTATCAGGGAATAATGAACAGTAAAGAGAAATTGTTACCATAAACATTTGAGAAACTCGATATTCTATAAAATACGACTATATTCCCTCCTACTCCAGGTTTTAACTCTCCTTATTCCTTACGTTTTAAAAGGCTACCCCTTTTTTTGGCCTCTCTTTCACCTACCTTCTCAGGCTCCTCCATTTTTGACCTGTGTAGAGGAAAAAGCATTTCCATGATAAAAGAGTAATCAAGCAACACAGCACCACTCTGTTTTGCACTGTGCTCCTTTAAACAGCTGTGGCTTGCCTCTCCCATGGCCAATGGCACATCATCATGTGTGCAGAAGGCTGCATGGCACTTTTAATACAGAATATCCTTGGAGGTTCTTTACCAGTATTTGTACTGGACCCTGGGGTGTTTGTACACCTCTCCCTTCGCCTGTCCCTGATTTGAGAAAGGACTGCAGAACTACACCTTACTCCTCATAGTCCAGAGACAAGCTCCAGGTGGTGGCAAGGTTGTGTACTTGCCCTTGTACTCAGTCCATGCCCTGTGGACTCATCGCTCATTGAACTCATTGCTTCCCCAAGGATCAAGCTAGGGCCTAGCGTGAGACAGAGAAGGCTGACACTAATTGTCCCATTTTGCTAGTGAAGGGTCCTGCCACAGGGACTTCCCTAGCTTAGTTATATCAAAAACACATCAAAAATTTGGGCAGATGTCTTTTTTGTTGTGCATCAGTCAAAATGAACAGCCCAAGTCTTGTCCCTTCTCTGATATCACTCCTTTCCAGGCCAAGGACTATCATTGCTTCCTCACGGCATGCTTACTGGATCAAACTTTCCAGCTCTTGAGGCTCTGCAACTGCCTGCTATCCCTGTACTAGCCTCCAGTCACCCACGTGCTCAAACGTCAGCCTTGCACAGCATCAGCACAATACCTTCTGTCCATCTGCATACACAGCGTAACCAGTGACTCGAACCCCATTGGAAGATCCTTCGGCATCAATGGTGACAGGTAACCAGCTGATAACGAGGATACCTGGCGAGGGACCAGCTTCTACCTGGACATCCAAAGGAGCATCAGGTGTGCCTGCGAGAGACCAAACAAATTTTCCTCTTGCTTACCCAACTACAGAATAAAGTTAAACTAAACCCTGGTTAGAATCAAAGAGAAAACTCCCATGCCAGACTTGCCACTGCAGAACCATACTAGAATAGCCAGGCTACTCTTGCGAAATGATAGGCAGAACCAGAGAAAATAATGCGCTCTTGTTCTGTGAAAGCTTTAATGCACAGAAAACAGGACTTTGCAAAAGTAGCTGAGGCCAAGATGCAGCAACCCTTACAGCAAGGTCGTGGCAAAACAGATCTTCCATGCTGCTCAAATCAGCAAAGGGGATGCCTTCCCAGAGCAAACAAAACCAAAAGAGATAATAAATTTTTAAAATAAAGGAAGAAAAACAGTAAGACAAAACAGTACAGCACCTTAGGCTTTGGGACCTAATAAACCTTGCTTCCCCTCGCCCCAAGGCTTCATAGCAAAGTAATGACAGAGCGCACTGCTCCAAGCACTCCATGCACAGTGGCAATGGGCATGACTGCTCTGATACCTGCTAGTGGGGTAGTGAAGTGTATCACAGCTGAGTTCTGCTCCTGCCCCTCTGGGACCTCTTCCCAAGGTGTTTTCAAGGGCCGAGCCTCCAGCTTGGCAACATAATGAGTGCTTGGCTGCAGGTTGTGGAAGGTGTACCAGTAGACCCCAGGTTTTGTTATGTCACATTCCTCCCCATTGAGATACACTGCATGGTTGTAATTGCTGTTGCAGGGAAGCCACATGACCTCTGCTGACGTGGCAGTGACACTTCTGACTTTCAGCATAGTTGGTGCCACACAAAAATCTTGCCCCACAAAGAAAGTGCATCGCAGCTTATCAGAACTGCCTTGCTCCGTCACAGTCTGCACAGATACACGGTAAGCCTTTGTCTTTAAATCCAGCTTTTCAATCACTGCTTTGGTCTGAAAGCCAGTCTTCACATTTTGACGTAGCTCTTCATCCACATAGATGTTATAGCTTTGTATGTCTGGGCAGCCAGCTGGCAAAAGTGGTGGTTCCCAGCCTACAACTATGCTTCTGGCAAGCTGCTTGATCAAAGTCAATTTTCTTGGGTAAGGCACTGCTGTATGACTAACAGGTTCCTCCTGGTCTCCTTCTGCTTTACTGGCCAGTGGACTGATGCTACTCTCTTCAACGGAGAAATCACTCTTATCTCCACTGCTGGTGCTTGCACTGACAAAACTTTTCTCCTGGTATGAACTATGGGTGAGATCACACAGCTCCGAAGGCAGAAATGTCATGAGGTCATCATCTGAAACTCGCTCAACAAAATTGGAGGGGACCAGCCCTCGCCGGCCATCCATCAGCTCCCCTAAACAAAAAACAGGAAACCTGTTACCACTGCACCTACCATTCAGCCTTCCAACCCATCTGTCACAACGTGACAACATCTATGCTAGGTCATAACCGCACTGTAGTCAGGAATGAAAAAACCTCTGGGAGGTTATTCCTGGCAAAGCTTCCTGCATTTCCTAGGGCTTCCCTAGTTAGATCCTAATAGCCACAAGCGAGAACACTGCTCCACGCATTCCAGAGCCAACTAACTAGGAAGCTGTTTTGTGTAATTAGCTTAAGTGTTTCTTCCTTCTTCATTATCCTATTGTTCCTCATCACAGCTCTTTCACTAACTTAAGTGTCTTTTCTAGCCATCCCAAACTATGCAGATTGATGATTTTACGTCTTCTCCCAGCCATAGAGATTTGGGTTTTGTAGTAGTTCCTCAAGAAAAGTCAGTACTTCCAGCTCTGTATTCAGCTCTGGCCTTCTTTTTAGTTCCCTCCTTTGTTAGGCTAGCTTCTGTACTAAGGATGGCACAAAAGGACCCATGGGGGCAACTGATACCACTGCACCCTTGGCACGTGCAAGAACCATCAAGTCACAGTCAAACAAGCAGTGTGTAGGGATGGCACTTACTTTCCCCTTTCAAACTCTACCTACAGCAAATCAATTGAAAGCAGGGAAAGCAGAAAACTTTAGTAAAGAATAACCTTTTTATTCTTTAAACAATAAACAAACAAACAAATACATGAGAAGCTTGGAAATAGAAAGAAAGAGCGAGCCAGAACAGTCAAAGAGCAAGCAGTGCAACATGGCATGCATTTGCCTCAGCTCTTGCAAAGCACCTCAGTAAATTAGGATCCTTCATTCCATGAAGTAAGCCAGCTCCACAATGAAACTTCATTATAAATTTACAGTCCACAATTCTTGGTTTCAATTCCATCTGCCTATTAGTCAACCAGGATCATGTTTTCAAAGGTGCCAAAAGACAAATACACTGTATGACACCAAATAACAACCGTAGTTTGTACTGCTTATACCCTACTCTGACAAAAGAGCAAGAGGTAATCAAGACCAGCTGCCTACAGTCTCTGGCTCACTATGCAGTCACTGGAAAGAGGGAAACAGACCATCTGCAGAAGGTGCCCAGGGCTGAACATGTTCCTCTCCATGGCTAGGGAGGAACCATATGGGGATGAAACCTGGAGCTCTACTGAAAGCCATGGCAAAATTCCCACTGAAATCACTAGACCAGGATATCATAGACTTAATTTAATCATGACATAAATAAACCCTTTTCCAAACAGAATCTGCTCTTCCCTCTAACAAACTAACTTTGGGCAGAAAACCTTTATCCTGAGGTTTCAAGATTCACTAAATTCTCCTCGTTTTTTTAAAGAGAGATAAACTCTGCACAGCAGTTCAGTCACATTTAATCGTACTAAAACACACCTTCAAAGAAGCCATCTTCATCCATGTCTCCATAGATGTAAATATATTCTCCTGCAGTCAGCGGAAGCTCTGCCTCTGGATTTTCATTAGGTCCATCAAAAGGATTGTAGCTGAAATATTTACAATATGAAGACTTACTTTTTATAGGAACTTTCACAGCAACATGTTCAAGCTGTGATATGATGTTAGATCACCTTACAGTTCACTGGGACTGCATCCACTTTTCGCAAGCAGCAAATTCCACAGACAAAGGTCAAGACTCTAGTTTACGGTTTTATATATAAACTAATAACGTATTGCTTCATGTTCAAATAGCAGCTAGGAATAATTTTCTGAGTAGCAGAACAGATGTCTTGTGACGTCTGAAGGAACAGATCAGAGTGACTCAAGAAAATGTTTAAAAAAAGATCTGAACTACCTGAGTGCCTGCTGTGTTTCTGAGTGTACCAAGTAGATAAGTTATAGGACTCTGCATTTCTAAGAGACATCCTTAAATTCACCTGCACTCTTAACTATTTTATGTAGATAGCTCTCTACATTTCATGTAGTTAATAGTTTTAAAAAAGAAAAAAAAAACCAAAACCAAAAAAACACCAAACAAAAAAAACCCCACACCACCAAAACCCCAAATCCAAAAAACCCAATGCCTCAAAAATGCCCCAAACATTTAAGGTACACTTTATCAGCCACAGACTGTCATGGACAAGCACAGCACAGAATCTCAAAATTCTGATGTTTAAAACCCTAAGAATGAGCTGGTTTGTGCAACAAGAAAGTTATGCGAGTGAAGAAAAGCTTTCTAGCCTTTCTCTTCATAATTACCCAGCCCTCAGGATCCAAGTTACACAGCTCTCAGTGCTGTAACTCAACATTTTAAGCAGCAGTCCAAAAGTTCCACTAGCATGAAAATGGTAAATAGGTGATAGGATTTGGACTCCAGATAGTTCTAACCTGCCTACCCAGGGATCCTTGAGCTAATCAGAGGGCCTATCATGGAAAATGCCTCATAAAAAACCTTTATCTTTGCAAGCACCTACTGCTAATTCCCGCTCTTTAGTCTTTGAAAGGGATTTCAACATGCCAAAGCTCTCTATGAGCTGAGAGAGAGCCTATGGGCCCAAGACTCTGACATGAAGACACAGATCACATTCGATCTGCTCCACAGAATCATCCCAGTTCTCTTCCTCTCAATCCACAGTCTAAAAGCTGAAGGGTATGCGAATACTTTTTGAACTGTAATAGCTAGTGGCTATTGCTCAGTGGATTGCAACAGTTCTCAAAAAAAATCTGTGTTTATCTGTGTATTTTTTTTTTAATTACAACCAGACTGATTTTGGTCAAAAACTTCAGGATTTCTGGGCTGAAATTTTCTCAATTGTTGGAATAAGATCTTCTTGGAAAAAATTTCTTGGACTATTCTAGAGAAATCAGACATTTCAAGGAATGTGTCAATTCAAACTCAATTTTCCATCCAGTATCATATTAAATTAAAAAAAAAGTTTCATACAGTGCCATTCACTGAACGACAACTGAGCTTACTATGCTTTTGTTAAGCCAAGCATATTGGATTTGCTTGTACAGGAAATCACAGGTCACAAAAAATCACATGGAGGAATGGTCTAACCTAATACCCATCCCTAACAGTGGTTAATGCTAAAGAACAGGGTAAAGTAGGCAACTGTGAGATAACCTGTCTAACCTCATAGACCACAAGAAATGATCCCAGTACCTGTATCGAGCTAAGAACACCTGGAGCTTTGCAGGGCCTTGGCTGCCTGGCTCTGGCATTAGAGAGATGCTGTCAACATCCAGTTCTTCCATTTCACTTGCAGTGTCCACCTACAAACATTAAAGAAGAAGGATATGATATGGCCCAAATCAGAGTAAAGGAACACTCAGGGTTTGAACATCAGTGAACAAGTCCTCTAAGCTCACGTGTGGTACCAGTCTGGCCACTGGGCTAAGAACCACCTGGAAGAATGACTTTTAAGGTGAAGTAGTAGTAATAAGAGGCAACATCTCCAAGTTGCAGCTTCACTGGTTCTAGTCAGACATTAGGAAAAACTCCTTGCCCAGGTGGGTGATGCAACCATGGGACAGGTTCCCACTAAGGTGGGGGATCTCCATTCTTGAAGAACTTAAGAGCCTCAGCTAGGCAAAGCCACAGCCACACTGACCTAGTGTTGGTGATAGTCCCGCCTGAGTAGGAGACTGGACTAAAGACTCTGGAGGGCCCTTCCACCCTATATATCCAAATTCAATATATTCATTTCCTGCTACTCTAAATGGTAGCTGTCCCTGTGTGCAACATAAATGGTAATCTGAACAAAGGAGACCTTACAGCAATATTAGATGTCTAAGTCTCTAAGCGCTTTCGTTCAGGCAGTTCCCTTCCAGCACCTGTAAATACTTCAGTATAATGTTTTTGTACGTTCAGAACATTAGAAGGCATACCAGTTCCAACCAAAGCTCTAACTAGTCCAAACAGTGCCTCTGGTAACAGCCAGTAGCATATGCTGAAGGAAAGTGTACAAGAGACAGGGTAAGCATGAAACTCTCCTCTTCCTGGTACAGCCTCTTGGTTTGTAGCAGTCAGCTACTTATGGACTTCCTAAGCTGGAGGCTACACCCTGAATGCACTTCGTGGCTACTGGCACAAGCATCTTTGAGAAATTTGTCTCAGTATTTTTGATCCCATTGACATTTTTGAATTTTACATCGAGTAGCAATGAGTTATGTAATGCAATCATACTTTTTGAGGAAACACACTTCCCTTGTGTTTGTTTGAAATGGCGCCAATGAACCAATTCAAGCTGCCTTTTTAAAAAGCAGACCTCAAGGCAAATGTATTATTGATGACGACCCATCACAGGCACCAGAATACAAAGTAGGTATTTTTTCTAGTATAGGAACTGCCAAAGTTAATCTCCGAAAGAGTTCAGAGCACCTTTTCAAGGTAGTGGTACTCCTCGTAATGCAATCTTGCATCATGTCCTAGGGTAACAAACTGCCCCCTGTAACACTCAAAGGTAGACCCAAATGGAGTAGCTTTTAGTAGCCTGGCTAACACTCTGGAGCGTTCCCATAACCACGTGTTGCTGAAGCCCAATGCTCTACACACTAGCTCTTTTTCAAGGATCCCACACTGACCTCTGCAGGCACTACTGGCCTTATCTCTCCATGAAGGCATGGTGGCTTCCAACCTTTCTCTTGAACTAAAAAATAGTAATTTTTCCCACTACAGAATTGATAGTAGTCATGTACCTGTTCCTCCCCAGGTGTGACCTTCACTTTGTCTCTGAACATGACAGCTTCTCAGAGCTCTTACACAGTGGTGGACACTGCCTGCCACAGCAGCATCCCTTTGTTAGTGCCCTGGCCTCAGTAGCTCAAGACTTCAGTGTCCTCCACATATACAATGAAGCACTCCATGTGGCCTCGAAGGTTTTAGCACTCAGGAAATATCAGTGGACCAAAACAGCAAAAGCTGCCTCCCATGCCATCACACCCAGCCCCACTCACAGTGCTACTTTACCCTAAATTGTCACGTTAAGTGATGTACAGCAGACAGCATGAAAGACTGCTTAAGTGAGGCCTACAATATTACATAAGAACTCCTGGGGAGGAGAAGCAGCAACCGTTTATGAGATCTTGGTAACACAAACAAGTAAAGGTTATTAATTTCATCCCTCTGCTAGCACAAACTCAGCATCTTTTCATGGTTTCTTTCACCAACTAAAATTCTAATACCTAAAAGCACCAGCAAAGAAGTTTGAGTCCCTCATCCACAGCTCAAGGCCAAAAATAGTCTGGACACAGTTCCTCAGCATGTTAAAAATAACAGTTTCTAGCCTTTGTGTTTTAGCAGTAGCTGAATGTCACAAGGAAGCTTAGCAAGAGCTTTCCCACACTTCCCATTAATCGACCTCCCCACCCCACTCCTTCTCCAAGCTCCCAGTACTCTGTCTAGCCAGTTGTTTCCTTCCTGGAGCACAGCAATCTGTTCAAATGAGCATTACAGACATGGGCATCCAAGACCTTTTCAATTTTCTCCTACAGCTTTTCTCTTGTTTTTCCCCCATTTTCTTCAGGTGGCCAGGAGGGAATGACAGCAACTTTATTGGTGGTCTCAGCAATACATTTATTCCCTTGTGGCTAGAAAGCACAGGCTGCAGAGGGGACTCCCATACCGACCTCTGGAGTTGGGCAGGATTTTGGACTGTTCTGTATGGATTCTGATTTTGAAGAGTTTGACTGAGATTCCACTTTCTTGGCTTGTTTCTGAGAACTGGTAGCAGCAACTGGAGAGCCAACAGTGGCATCAGGAGCCTGCTGTGATGACTCCAACTCATCAGTCTCTTCATTGTGAACCTTCTTTGCACTCTGGTGAGTGAGCGATCCAGGAACAGTCGATGCTGCAATAAAATAATCTGTCCATTACTTTTAGCCACAGGCAGAATACAAGATCAGCTGTGAGCATCACAGTGAGCAAATACCATCTAGAGAAGCTCAAGCCTCTAAAAATGTGACTCATTTCACAGCGCAACAGACTGGACACCCTGGGCACTCTTTGGTCAGAGAAATGCCAAGTTCTCTTTATGACTACAAAATGAACCGAAGGTATTTACGAGAGACAGAGATCCCAAAAGTTAACTAAACATTTGCATTATTTCCTTTACACCTTTCCATTTACACAAATAACAACTGATTTGTCAAAACACTTGTAGACATCCCCAGCAATTACCCTTCTCCCAGTGGGGCTGTGGGGTAGAACTGCACAGAGCAAGAGGAAGCTCAGAAGTCACCAGCGTAGAGGTGAGAAGGTCGATTTTTCCTGTTTGAAGCCGGAATTGTTTGAGTTCCTGAGACAGGAGGCTGAACTGCTCTGTTTGACTGCGACACTGGTCTTCTAGATCTTTCACCCGTGCCTGACAGGAGAGACACAAGATGAGGCACAACCCCATATCAAACCACTAGTGAGGCTCCAAACAGCATTTGCCTTTGCTGCATCTTTTCAGTGGGTCTCAGACTCCAAGAACCTAAAGGTGTGCCCTGCCCAGGAATGGTCATTAGGAACTGGCAACTCTGTACCTACAGTATCTTTGAAAACCTGAGACTCATCATCTGTGAGGGAACTGACTGCAAGCTCAATTAGGAATTATCCCTGAAATGTTGGGTTTGAACTTCAATATCCTATCTGAGCCCTGTACAAGACCAGATGAGATAAGTCAAAGATAAATAAGCCTTGAATAGAAAAAGATTGGAAAGGCTTTGCATGTTTACTGGAGCATTAAAATCCCATCTCCAAAAGGAATTGCTCTCCCAGTGCTCTGTCTCGTCCACACTCCAGAGGCTCCAGCAAGCTCCCGAAACCTTACCCTGGCTTCCCCACCATTCTGAGCAGGACTCCTCGTTGCCCCTCCACATCTTGGCTCCTCCAGGCACTACGAAGGGCAGAGAGCATCAGCACCCTGGCTCTTGTTGCAGAACATTTCTTTGATGTGGGCAGCCTACACACTTTGCCACCAGGTCCTACAGGGATGACTTGCTCCAGGTAAATGCATGCTGAGTACAAGAAACCTACATCTCAGTAAGATGAGATGCACGGGAGCCTTGGGGAAATATTATAGAGAGGGAAAGATACATTCATACTAGAGAACCATTTGTATTTTCTAGTATTCTTTTTCTACCATCTCTAGATCTTCCCCTTCCAAAATATTGCTGAGTCCTGGCTGTCCTTACACATCCTCACATACTCCCTAGTTGTAGGACTATCAATTCCCAGGAGAACGTAACTGCTCCTTTCCCTCTTCTCAACCCTTCCACCGTGCAACAGGATATCTGTCTAGGAAGCCAGAGTAACCTATGTAGTCCTTACTCATGCACTTCAGGTAATAAGTAACAAAAAGCATTAGTGCTGGATGGGAATATATCATCTAATCAGCAGTTCTTCAACAGAGTTAAAGCAGACAATATTTAATTTGGCATTAGTGTATCTGGCTGATGAGGTGCAGGCTCTGCCTTGCAAGAGATTAAATTTGTTCCCTTTTTTGCCTTTGGGCTGGGATCACACCAGGCTTTGTAGTCACTCATCTCATCATTTTGCGTAGGTAAGATGCATCAAAACAGATGACTGCATTGTGCTCTTCAAAAACACCTTGTAGAAAAAAATTTCTAAGTGTCTTTTTCTCCTTCCAACTCAAAAAATAAATCATGCCCAAAAATATGTGAGACAAAAAGTGTGGTTTCTAGGCAGCTCTAAAAATAACACATCTGACCTGGAAAAAGCTTTTTTTTCTGGTCTCAGAGTACCACAAAATCTTTCTAGCCCATTCCCTACCAACTTAGAAGGGTGCATGAATTTTTATTTTGTTGTGACATATCCGTTTTAAATACGTCAGTTTATCACTTGTTTCCTTCACAACTAGCTAGGTATTCTCAGTCTTTAAGGGAAGCCTGGTGAAGTCTCTGAAGTCTGGCAAGAACTAACTGTCTCTGAACTGAAAGAGAATGTCAGATGCCATGAGCAACTTCCAGAAGTGTCTGTATTCTCCATTTGCTCAGAGTCAACTCCTTGTTCACTAAGTCATGCTGTACAGGATTCCTCTGCAATCATGAGTGTTTGAATTTACTTACAGTTAAGATTTTTCACATAAATGCTTCTCCCCTACACATTACATCTTAATAGAGAAAAGCAACCATGAACAGTGAGAACAGTTGCACTGTATCAAAGCAGGGCTTCCTTTAGACCAACATCTGTTCCCGATCCCACCTTGGGACACAGCCTACGACAAGAGACAGGTACAGAATGACTGCAGGACCAGAGAGGGGTTTTCCCATCTTGTCTGGAGACCTGAGCCAGCAGATGCATCTGGATATTGTGTTTAATGGCATCATAATAGTACCTTGGTTCTGTAAATGTATTAATCACAATTTAAATCCATTTATACTGGTGGCCAAGCCAATAGCCTGGATAATCCACAGTTTAATTTGGAGATACCTAATTAGTCAGGTGTTTTTTAAATCTTGTGTTATTCAAAACCATGTACAAACATCCCTTAAGTATTACTGCCACATCATACACAATGCGTACTTCTAGTGGACTGCTTCCAGAGGTTTACAGACAGCTTGGCAAGCAGCAAGTTTCCAGGGCAGCACTAGGAGGCAGGGGGATAAGGAAGAGGAGCCTAAGGAC